AGCACCATGGCTTTACAAACCCAAAGGGCTTTGAAACCAGCAACCTACCAGCTGGGCTTAGCCTGCATCTCCAGCCTAGAGGGAGACTGGTGTGAAGACCAGAGACTGCAACGGAGCTGTTCCATCCTGGTTGCACGCCAGGGGGTGCCCATGCATGGGCATGGCTACCTATTGTGGGTATTTGTCCATCCCCGTTACCAGGCTATCTGAACCCCACCCCAGCTTCAGTGTACTGAGCCTCGATGCTCCCATGGGGGCGGGAGCAGGGCAGCACTGCTAGCCCCATGTACAGGGGGGCAACTGAGGCACAGAGAGACAAGGTCACACAGGAAATCAGTGGCAGAGCAGGGGTTTGAGCCCTAGTCTCCTAAGACCCAGGTTGGGGCTCTAGCCACCGGACTATCCCTGAGCCCAGAGGAAGGCACCTATGGCAAGGCCCAAGCAGTACCATCAGCGGGGCCTTCCCTTGGGTCCCGTGGTGCATGCTGGGTGATGTAGTCCCCGCGGGCTGCACTTTTGCATGAAGGTCCAGGGCCCAGCCTGGCTGTGGCCGCTCCTCCAGCCCTTGGGATCGCATGGCTCTCCATCCCCTGAATCAGAGCCCAGGTCCTGGCAGGACAGCAGGTAGAGTTCCCCAGCCCCCAGCAGTGCCAGACCCTGCCCCTGGGCTATGTTCGTGGTGAGCAATGCAGCAGTCCCGGGGGGGTAACCACGCAGCACGGTCCTCCATGTCCGACTGGGGGGGAAGGGCGGGAGGGAAACGGCCTTGAAATCTAATCCAGGATGCTCTAGAAACCAATAGTGCTGAGCTCAGCGTCTGCCGAGGAGTCTGATTATTTTTAGATAAGATGGAGCAGGGACAGGGAGTGCGGGATGCAGGCTGCCCAGTCTGCCTGTGTAGCTGATGAGGCGGCGAGGGGCGGGGAGACTGCAGCAGGCGCTACCTTTGCACCATTGCTCTTGAACACGTAACCCGTGCTGCCATCGTTCTAGTCGTCCCATTTTTTTAACTGCCTTTCCGTTGGGAGGGGCTGGCACGGGAGCGGGGCTGAGCCGGCGTCGCCCTGGGGAAATCAGTAGCGTTACTCTGCATTTACCCCAGTGTCACTGAAGACAGGATCTGGCCCCTCCTCCATCCAAACGGCACCGCGCAGGCCAAATCCTGCAGTCCTTACTCAGTCAAAACTCCCACGGAGGTGGGGAGCTCAGGCAAAGTGGGTGGTAGTGCCCCCTGGGGCACAGCAGAGTGGGGAGTCTGGATGAGATCTGCTTCCCAGCCCTGCAGAGACACTGCTCAGCAATTTGGGACAGGAAGTGGAGGGGTCTGCAGGAGGAATTCACAGAAGCACTTAGGCCTGGTCTACACTACAAACGTAGGTCGACATAAGCCATGTTAAGTCGATCTACTGATGTATGTGTCTGTAGTACCGAGTCCCTTCCGCCGACCTAAGTGGCCTGTGAAGTCGACTAGCCCAGGTTTGTTAATGAGGCACGTGGCTCAGCCCCTTGGCTTCAAGTCTCCTAGTACAAGGAGTTACACTTCTGCAGGAAGTTGCAAGTGGCCAGACGTCGGGTAGGACACACACACACACAAACACACACACACACACGCCAGCCGCATCGGGTAGAACGGACACACACACACACCCTGGCTGCATAGTGTGAGAAAGAGAAGACAGCCAGGCTACATTTCAGCAGCAACAGTGCTGGGTTTCCCGCATACCTTGTTTCTTGTCGCTAATGCAGTACATAAGCTATCCGGGCGTCACTGAAAGGGCACCAGGAGCGGAGACCCGGGGCGCAGGAGCAGTCAGGAGATGGGCATGTGGGTTGCCGAAGTCTGATGGCCATGGCGCAAGGGGGAAGGCAAAATAAAAACGCCCGCGGCGAGGCCCGTCCCTCCTCACAATCATGGGAGACGTGGCGAAGGTTGAAGCAGCAGCATGAGGTGGCCGTGAAAGCTGCAGGGGCTGGCAGAGTGGAAGATGAGCAAAACCCACTGATGCTGCTCTTGTTGGGGGTCTGGGGCCGACACGTTGGGTATATGCACTGGGCATATGTGACGCACGCAATGCTGGGTATATGCAATGGATACATGCAATGGGTCTAATGCCGGGTATATATGATGGGTATATGCCAATATAGCCCTGGGTATTTGGGACAGGTTTAACGCTGGGTATAGTGATGGGTATAGCGATGGTTGTAATGCTGGGTACACGTACTGGGCGTAGTGTTGAGTATCGCACTGAGTTCCATATCAAGGGTGAAGGGGGGAGGGAAAGAACGACAGAAGGAATCGTGAAAAGGTCTGGGGGTCACAGGGCCCCCAGGGAAAGGTCTGGGGGTCACAGGGCCCCTAGGGAAAGGTCTGGGGTCACAGGGCCCCTAGGAAGGGGGTTCCCTTTCCAAGGCCTAGCCCCTGAGGGAAGAGGAGTTCATCTTCACACCTTAACATTTAACAAGTCCCGCCCCATGAGCTGGCCCTTCGTGGGGCCGGATTGTGGCGTCTGGCGCACACCAGGTGCTCGGCACGTTACGGCGTCTGGCCCCGAACAACGCCCTGCCTACAGACCCTCTCGTTCTGGGCTCGTCCCGGCAGAGAGCTGCGCGGGTCACTTGCCAAGGCAGCGCTGCTCAGCCAGGCAGCAGGACGGAGAGCCAGGCGAGCGCCCACAGAGGGGCAGAGGATGCGTGGCTGGAAGCCCCGAGTTTGAGCAGGGAGGGGAGACTTGGCGGAGTGTCAGCCGGGTTCACTGGGCTGGCGTGGGGAACACCCAGCTGTCGGGGGAGTGTGTGGAGACCAGGATCAGCCCCACGGCTGGGGGAGGGCAGAGGCTGAGCTGAAAATGCAGGGGCTAGAGGTGCAAAGGGGGGCTCTCGAGGGCAGGGGAATTGCTGGGGGGAAGCCAGTACTGCTGCTGTCTAGCCTGGCTATGCACCCTACACCTGTAGCCTGGCTTGGGGGTGGGAGCGTCCAGCACCCTGCCAGCTCTGAGGGGTATGGTGGCTAACGGGTGCCCCAGGAACCGCGATGGGACCGATCAGATCACCTCCCCTGGGTTGGCCCTGGAGGTCTCCCAGCTCTCTGTTGCACAGCCCAACCCCGCTTCGTTGGGGGAGGCAGCCAGCACACAGCCTGAGGCTGTGTCTCCATTACCCTTCCCCCCCTCCCCGTGCCCTCTTCTGTCTGCCAGTGTACCTGGTCTCCATGCCACCTGCTGAGGCCTGGCCAGTCCTGTCTCAGATCCCCCAGACGGGACCCACCCTGGCGCCGGGCTCGCCCGTGGGGGCACTCCATGACCAATGTCACAGCCCCGTGACACCATAGCAATGAAATCCCACTGCCTCGAACAAGGTCTGGGAGCTCCGGGACGGCTCCCTGAAACCACTGAGACTCTGCCACAACCCTGGGGCTGGTGACCCCCCCCGGCCCTCCCACAGCTGTGGCTAGCTTGCTAGCGAAGGCAGTTTGGGGGCTCTGAGCCCCCCACGGCACCTACTGCCCCGAGCATGCCAGGCTGTGGCATCGCCCCGGGGAAGGCTGGCTAAGGCCCGGGTGGCAGAGCCAGGTGCAGTGGGCAGGCCAGGTGGTGCTTTGTACCAATGCGCAGGGCCGCCCGGCTAGGGGGTTGCAGCCACAGCAGAGGAACCCAGGGCTGTTTCATGGCGCCATCGGTTCTGAGGTTGGGAGCTTCCTCCATTACTGGCGGCGGGCAGGCAGCGGTGAGGGCAGGAGGCTCCGTCGGGCACGGCGGCCCATTAATCATTGTATGGGAACAGCAAAGTGACCTCTGGTTAGTGAGCGCAGACCACGCAGGGGCCATTACAGCACAAATGATATTACATAAAGCAGCCATTAGTGTTTGTCTGTTGCCAGGGGAACCAGGGGCCTGCCTGGTCATGGTCACTAGAGGGGAGGAGGGAGGGGTCTTTCTTTCTTTCTTTCTTTCTTTCTTTCTTTCTTTCTTTCTTTCTTTCTTTCTTTCTTTCTTTCTTTCTTCACTCCCTTAATATTTACAATTCCCCACCCCACCCCACCCTTCCCGCAATTTGATTTGGATGCCGCATTCTACTCCACTTCCTGTCCTAACTTCTTGCACAGTGTTCCTGTGCACTGTTACATGGTTGCTGCGTTCCACCCCAGAGGTGGCTGCATTCCAGCATACCGTGAGTGAGCCATGTGCAGCGTTGCTGTCCAGGATTCACTTATTGCTGTGTTCCAGCCCAGTGGTGGCTGCAATGACTCCCTTTCCTTTCACTATCAAAGAGATCCTCTAATGGATACTGTGAGGAAATACTAATGAAGCTTCTTAAACGTTTTAAAAACCTTATTTACTTTACATACAACAATAGTTTAGTTATATATTATAGACTTATAGAAAGAGACCTTCTAAAAACGTTAAAATGTATGACTGGCACGCGAAACCTTAAATCAGAGTGAATAAATGAAGAATCACTTCTGAAAGGTTGCCCACCCCTGCACTAGAGTCAGTTTCCAGCCAATAGGGGGCGCTGCGGGGAATGCGACAGGGTCACTAAGACAGGGTGTGTGAGCTAGACCGGAGCCCAGCCGCTCCCAGCTCCTACCACAGTTTCCACACCTGTGAATCACAGCTCGTGGGAGCTATGTTACCATCTTCCTGGGGCGTGCGAGAACCAGGGCTGGTGACAGGGCGGGTGACTCCGCCGGAGCCAGTGAGCACCAGTCTCCACCACCCTTTGGGGCCGCACCAGGCAATGGAAGCACGGAGCGCTGGTGGAATTAATTGGGGGGCAGGGCGCGATGGGGGCTGTTGGGCCATCTAAGGCAGGCTCGACGCAATGCCAACTCTCCCCACTCTAATGCAGCCCCCAGCTCCTGCCATCCTGAGAGCGGGCTGGGGGCAGTGGGCTGGTCGCTGCCAGCAGGGGGCGCTGCTCAGAGCGGGGCACAGGATGGGGGGAAAGAGACTGGCGAGGAGGTGCTGGGCTGCAGTCTCACGCCTGGCTTTTCCTTTCAGATTCGGAGCAAAGCAGCAGTCCGAGGACAGGGATCGGCTCAGACCAGGAGGACAGCAAACCGATCACATTGGGTAAGTCAGCGCTGGGCGGGGGGGTCCCCTCACCCCTCTCCCTTGCCAGCTTGCGGGGGGACAGATCTCGCACGCAGACCCCATTTAACGCGCTCTCAGAACCCCTGAGGGGCAGGGAAGGAAGCCATATGGGTACTGAGGCAGTTGACACCCTCCCCGTTCACTCTCTGCAAACCCAGGGGCCAGGCCTCTCGCTGGCCACAAGAGTGGTGAGTTTGGGGCTCTCTCAGCCTAGCGTCCCCTGGTTGGAAATCTCTGCACAGCGAGGCCTGAGAATGGGGGTGGGGGAGGAGGAGTTTCTTAAAGCCCCAGCCTCTGGAGTCAGGTGCTTATAGGAGAATCTCAGCTTTGGTTTAAAAAATAGCCCACGGATGTTTCTCACCCATGTGGCTGTGGAGAAACACTGGAAAACCTGAAGCCTCTGCAGCCTGAAGGCAAAGGATGAGAACCCCCGTTCGTTAGTTGTCACATCTCAGGATTCGTGGGGGCTGCCCCATCATTCTGGGATGCTGTAGGGGAGGCAGGTTTCTGCTCAGAAGAGGCCCGGGGGCCGGGGCTGGGATAGTGGAGGGGCTGTGGGGTGGGACTGAGGGGCAGCAGCAGAGCTGTTGGGGGAGCCCTGGACTGGAGCATCAGGGGTGATGGGAACAGTGGAGTGGCTGCAAACCAGGAGCATGGGGCATTGGCAGCGCTGGGCATGGGAAGCTTGTACAGCGCTCGCGCATGCTAGGCCAGTCTCTCTTGTCAAATTACCCCCCAGGCCGCTTCTACCAGAGCGGGCGTGGGGGTCCTGAGGGGCACAGAGAGCGGTCACACAGCCGCCCCAGACTCTTTGCCACAGCGCTCCTCACCTGGGGAACAGCTGAACAGACCTCATGCCTGCCACAGGGGGTGCCGGAGAGCCCTGGGTCAATGCAGTACCACAGGCGGGTTCTCACTCCTGCCGCAGGGGGCGCCGGAGAGCCCTGGGTCAATGCAGTACCACAGGCGGGTTCTCACTCCTGCTGCAGGGGGCGCTGGAAAGCCCTGGGTCAATGCAGTACCACAGGCAGGTTCTCACTCCTGCCGCAGGGGGCACTGGAGAGCCCTGAGTCAATGCAGTACCACAGGCGGGTTCTCACTCCTGCCACAGGGGGCGCCGGACAGCCCTGGGCCAATGCAGTACCACAGGCAGGTTCTCACTCCTGCCGCAGGGGGCGCCGGAGAGCCCTGGGCCAATGCAGTACCACAGTCGAGTTCTCACTCCTGCCGCAGGGGGCGCCGGAGAGTCCCAGTCCAGCCCTATGGAAGCGGGAGGTTTTTAGCCGAGTTTTGCATCCAAGTGGTCAGCAGCACAGACACCTGCTCCTTCAGGGGGCAGTGTTGCGCCTGCTCTCCCAATGAGATCAGACAGCCCACAGCAGGACCATGAGCCGGCAGGGCGAAGCCCAGGTGCTCCCAAGGGGTCACGTTTGTGCTTCCCCCGAGAGCTGCTGGGGCCTTTTCAAGAGCACATGGTTCCCTCTTGCCAGCAGTCGATGAGGAAGATGCTGAGGGCACCCAGGCCTCTCCAGCCAGCACCCCAAGCCAGTGGTTCTGTGCCTGGCTGTCAGGCTGAGGCTCTGGGCCCCCCTTAGGCGCCCGTGTTCACAAGAACCGGGCTCTGCGTGCCCCCCAGCTTTGCATGAAGCGAGCTTGGAGCTCAGACTTGGCGCAAGGATTTGCAAACACAGGAGATGGGGCAGGGCTGGGTGCGGTGGGTAGCGCTGGAGAGAGGGTCAGACTAGCACAAATAGAAGAGCTGGATGTTAATGGAGAGCAGAACTTCCCCACCCAGGCAGGAATGTTAACCCTCCGCTCTAGGAAAGCCCCTCTCCAGGGGACAGGTGGGGCACCGAGTGGTTCACCCATTAGTAATGTCAAGGGAGGGGTGTCCACAGGACGCCCCTGATTTCACAGGAGTTCACGCCACAGATGTGTTGGGCCCCTGCAACAAATATTACTTGTTACTTGTATCACAGTAGCACCTAGGGGCCCCCAAGAAAGATCAGGACCCCACTGCTAGGAGCTGCCCAGACACCTAGAGAGACAGCCTGGCACCCCAAGGGTGGGAGGGGGACCCAGAGGCCAGAAGCAGGCCAGTGGTAGAGGCAGAAAGAGAACCCAGGTGTCCTGAGGCCTGGGCCTCCCCACTAGGCCGCACAGTTTTAGACAAAAGCACATTTTGGTCGGCCGCCGCGTCTGTCTGACAGCCAGCAAGGCGGAGGCAGAGGAGCAGGGAGAGAGGGCTCCCAGCCGGCCTGCGCCAGCCAAATCCCTGGCTGCCGCTGGTCCAGGGCATCCCCAGAGCAGCGCCCGGAAGTGCTGGGGTGAAAGGTCAGGCGCCGAGGTGGAACAGAAAGGAAGCGATTGGATTTTGCTAGATGGGAAAATGCCTCGGAGAGGAAACTGCTGAGCCAGGGCTTTTTCCTCCACCTCCGGCTTCTGCCAGCAGCGTCTCAGCCGCCGGTGACGCTGAGACCCAAACTGACCCCGTCTGCTGCTGGTGCACCGCCCCGCTCTCTCGCCCTCTGCAGCAGAAGTGCTGACTCGGCAAACCCAGGCTGCAGCAGGGGCTTGGCTCCTCGGTGCCTGGGGTGACATACGCTCCCGGCAGAAGCTGAATAGCTTCCCTCTAAGGGGAACGGCATGAGCGACGGGGAGACCGTTGGCTGGCCAGGAGCCGGAGTTTTTATCAGCTGGTCTGTGGAGCGTGGAATGAGTTTGGCAGGCCTCAGCCCAGCTCCCCAGCATAACAGCCGTCCTTGGGCTCCTTGCAGAGAGGCCAACAGAGTGTTTGCATGGAACTGTGGCAGAGGGCAGCAGGACAGCGGAGCATGCCCTGGGATTCCAGGTGCAGGGTGACTGGAGACAGGCAGGGTGGTGCCAGTGGTAGGATCTGGTGCCCAGAACAGGGACTGAATCCCAAGCTGGCAAGTTCACAGTTTGCCCCCATTCACTGACTTTGCTGTCTCGCTGTGAGAGCCAGGATCTCCCGCCCGCGGCCGCTTTCCACTGAGTCACTCCTGTGGTTGGGTTTGGTTTTCTGAGTCACCCCCCACGTGCCAGAGGCCCCTGCACTCAGCTTTGCCAGCGTGCCAGCCCCGGGGCATACGGGCAGGAGCTTGGCTGCCAACTGGGGATGGAAGTATCTAGGACTATTGAGCCATCAGTTATTATTGAGAAGAGGCACCTAGAAGCCACCCCCGCTGGCATGCTCCATGCCAGCCCTAGACCATTGTGCCAGGCGCTGCACAAACATACCGTCAAATCAGCCCCTGCCCAGAAGAGTTTACAGTCTATACAGACAAAAGAAGGAGTTTTAATCTCCATTTTAGAGACAGGAAGCTGAGACCCGGAGAGCCAAAGGGTCACGCAGGGGATCTTCAGAAGGACTGGGGTCAGATCTCTGAGCCCTGTGCTCTTCCGAGACCCAGGCCAACAGCCTCAATGCAAGGCCATCCTGCCTTCGTGGCATTTGCTGCTAAAAAAAGGGACTGCTGTTCTCCCAAGCCTGCCCTGATGCGTGCATGATTCCCATGCTCAGAACTGCATACACCAGCCTTGATACAGCACTTGTCAGTCCCCAAATACAAATGCAGGGCAGTGTCATTGTCCCCACTTTACAGATGGGGAAACTGAGACGCAAATCTTGTCACCCTAACTTGATAGATTTCTTTGAAGAGATTACAAGTTTGGTTGGTACAGGTAATAGTGTCAGGCATTTTGGCTTGGTACTGCAGGATATTCTGATTAAAAAACGAGAACAATACAAGATCAACACGGCACCCATAACATGGACTAAAATCTGGCTCACTGATGGGTCTCAAAATGTAACTGAGAATGGGGACACATCATCAATGTGCTTCTAGCGCAGTCCTGCCGGGATCAGTTCTGGGCCCCACGGTCTTGAACATTTTTATCAACTACCTTGAAAAGAACATCAAATCATCACCGATAAAGTTTGCAGATGACACAAAGATTGGTGAATAACGAAGCTGACAAGTCACTGAGACAGAACGGGCTAGTTTGCCTGGTGAGCTGGGCACAACCAGCCAACCTGCGAAGTCACCTGTCGAGGAACCATTACAGGAGGCGATGAAAAAGATGGTGTCATGGAGTCCCCGGGCGATGCTCTGGAACTGCTCCCCACAAAGCCAGTCAGGACGTTGGGGAGCCTCCTCTCCCTCGGAGCAGACTGTCTTCAGGGCAAGCAGCTCACACGGCTTCACCTCCAGGGTCTCTCCTGGGAGCATTCAGCATATGCCCCTCTGTGCGCTTCCCACAGCGAGTCCGCCCCGGCGGGGTCCTGGGGAAGCCAAAGGGTTCTGCACCCCCACTTCGCAGTCAGACGTGACTCTCAGACAGCCAGTAAAACAGAGGTTTATTAGATGACAGGAACACGGTCTAAAACAGAGCTTGTAGGTACAGCGGCGAACGGGACCCCTCGGCCGGGTCCATGATGGGGTTCAGAGAGCCAGACACCCACGTCTGCCCTCACTTCTGTCTGCCCTCACTTCTAGTCCCCAGGTAGCTCCAACTCTCAAACCCCCTCCAGCCCCTCCTTCTCTCGGCTTTGTCTCTTTCCTGGGCCAGGAGGTCACCTGATCTCTTTGTTCACCTTTAGCTATTTCCTTGCAGGGGGGGAAGGGGCCCTGGTCATTTGTTGCCAGGGAGACAGAGTGTCAGTGATTTATGCACACTGGCCTTTCCCCACCACCTAGAGACTTAAGAAATGCATAGTGGAAACTGAGGCACCCACACAATATTCAGAGGACACATTAAGAACAGTCCCACTTTGTCACAGATGGAGAAACGTTCTTCTCTCTTGCCACACAGGGCAGGACAAGAGGCAGTGGGTTCCAACGACAGCGGAGCAGATTTAGATTAAATCTCAGTAAGAACAGTAGGACAATGGACCAGACCTGCCTCGGGAGGTTGTGGAAGCCCCTTCACTGGAGGTTTTTGAAAGGAGGCTGGAGAACACCTGTCTTGGATGGTGCAGATACAGCAAATCCTGCCTCTTGGCAGGGGTTAGACTAGATGACCCTTGTGGTCCCTTCTAACCCTACAGTTCTTTGGGGTACTCCTGGGGAAGCAGTGCCTCTGAACAGGACTTTGGGGTCATGGTGGATAATCAGTTGAACTCGCTCTGGGTTACTGTGATCCTTGGACGTATAAAGAGGGGACTCTCAAGTAGGAGTAGGGAGGTTCTTTTACCCCTGCATTTGGCTCTGGTGCGGCCGCTGCTGGGACTTTGTCCGGTTCTGGTGCCTACAATTCAGGAAGATCTTGCTCATGGGGGAGGGTTCAGAGAAGAGCCCTGAGAATGACTACAGGACTGGGACACCTGCCTCGCGGGGCCCTGTCTGCTTAGCAAAGAGAAGGTTGCGGGGTGATGTGGTAAGCAGCTGCCTGGGGAGCAGGAATTTGAGAATCGAGGGCTCCTCAAGTCCAGCAGAGCCAGGTCCAATGAAATCCAGTGGCTGGGAGTTGAAGCCGGGGTGACAAACAAGGTCCAATTTTTAGTGAGGCGAATTAACCATGGGAACAATTTGCCTGGGGCCGTGGGGGGGTTCTCAGCCCTGGAAATGGTTAAATCAAGAGGGGGTGGTTTTCTCCCAGCTCTGTGCTTGTTCCGCAGGAATTAGTTCAGGGACGTGCCGTGCAGGAGCCAGAGGTGAAAGTAAGCCTGTATGCCCCGGTACGGTGTATTGGCAAGAGCCGGTTTGCCGTACTGGGGCGGCCGGCTTCCCCAGGGGCAATTTAAAGGGCCTGGGGCTCCAAGCAGGGGCTGGAGCCCCAGGCCCTTTAAATTGCCACCAGAGCCTCACTGCTGGAGCCCTGGGGTAGGGCTGCGGGGCTCTGGGGGCTATTTAAAAAGTCCGGGGCTCCCGCTGCTTCTACCGCCCCGGCCCTTTAAATAGCCGCGGGAGCCCCGGACTGCTGCTGCTACCCCGGAGAGGGGGGCACTTCCCTTACAGGGTGGGCTGGGGCTGGCTCTGACTCCCTCAGCCACGCCCCTTCTGCCCTAGGCCCCGCCCCTTCCAGGGGCCAGAGCTGGCCCCAGTGTATGGGTAAGTCACTGGACTTACTTTCACCCCTGGCAGGAGCTCAGAAGAGATGATCACAGTGGTCCCGGCTGACGTTAAAATCTAGGAATAAGTGAAGGGACTCGAGTCATACCCGGGCCAGGACTACCTGCTGTCCTGCGCCCACGCCACTGGGTCATTTCTATGGATAACAAGAATATCCAGCGTAAATGTTTTAAAAGCAAAAGAGCTTGAAAGGGGAATGAACCCTCCTACTTCAGGGCGGGAGCTGAGCTCTAGCCATGGGGTCAGGAGGGGCCTGTGCCTGGGGCAGGTACCCCATCACTGCGGGGTTCTTGCCCGTTCCTTGGAAGCAGCTGTTAGAGGCAGGATACCAGGCTAGATGGGCCCCTGATCCAATCTGGCAAGTCCTGAGCTGCCTCTGTTGTGTCTCTGATTAAAGCAACATTCTGGCTAAAAAAACCGAGGAGTCCTTGTGGCACCTTAGAGACTAGCACATTTATTTGGGCATAAGCCTTCGTGGGCTACAGCCCACTTCTTCAGTTACAGCCGCCCAGAGCACTTGTGACCCAGCTCATGGAGAGAATTAGAGCTGTTTTCACACCCCGGGTTGGGGTTTGAAGCTATGTGAGTGACATGAAAGCAGGTCAGGTCAGTGTGACATGTACGTCAGTTACTGGATATCTAACACACAGGTGCAATACGTGGGAGCCAGCATGAGTCACGCAGATAGGAAATTAGATTTCACAGCCAGTGCCTGGGGATCTGGGCTGGGGATCCCTCGCCCTCTCTGAGCCCCAGGCAGGAGCGGGCAGCGCTCGGGGGGCAGGGTTGTTGACAAGGAGCAAAAAGGGTGGGGAGGAGCCAGGCTGGGCCATGCCGACGCTGCTCTGGTGCCCATTGGATCTTCCCACTGGGCCGACTTGGGAACTTGGCAGGGGCCCATGGGCCGGCAGCTGCTGGGCGAGGGTGCAGATTGCGGCTTTAACGCCAGGCTGCGGGAGTGTCTGCTCCAGCCATTGCCCCAAACAGACCATGGGAGGTCCTCGGGATCCCGCACCTCGGGGCAGCTACAGCCTCTCTTCCTTGCCAGGACTCTAGCTAGCTGGCAGCCCCAGGAAGCGATGCCCAGCACAGGCAGCAGGAGGGAGGAGGGAATCTCCGTGGCCCTGCCCGCCCTGGCCTCTGCAGAGATGCGGCCAGTAGCTGAGGTGCCATCTCTACCCCGGAGCTCCTCTCCCCTAGGTCCCTGCAGAGCGATGACTTCCAGCATCTAGGCTCCCTGGCCCACTCCAAACCCAAAGCCAGCCCAGCCCCTTGGCTCTGCTGATTCATGGGCAATTAACTCAGTGAACCAGCACCTCAGGCCAGGCTGCTCTGGACCAGGAACGCCCCGGGCAACTCAGCTAGCCGGAGGGCCTTGACTCTGCCCTAGCCAAGGGAAGCCTGGACCTCCTGCAGGCCCCTGCCTCAGCTCCCAGGAGCAAGGCTGGGACCAGCAAGCCAGGCAGCTCCCCCCACCCGCGGAAACCTGGGCACCATGTGGCACGTGTTCTCCTCGGGCATCGCGGTGGGGCGTCATGACACTGCTGGGCAACGCCGGCCCCCGGCGGCCGTGCAAGGAGGCAGGTCCCCAAAGCGATGGCTTGTGGGTGGAGGGCTGGGCAGAGGCCCACCCCGGTTAGAGCCACGGGGAGGGAATGGCGGCGAGTCTGGTGCCAGCGATGGGTGCCCGGAGCCGTGTCTCTCGGCTCCTCTCATCTCTCTCTCTCTCCCCACGGCAGATACGACAGACTTCCAGGAGAGCTTTGTCACGTCGGGGGTATTCAGCGTCACAGAGCTCATCCAGGTCTCCCGAAGTGAGTACCAGGCCGGGGACGCGGCGGCAGGCAGGAAAGCCGTCGGGGCCCCAGAACTTTCCCTAGCCCTGACAAACGCGCCATTGCATGGCGAGGCAGAGCCAGACACTTCCCCTTCCGCCCCCGCAACCCCTCCAGGGGAGCAGACTGCATGGAGTTCGGCTCAGGGCCTGGTGAACAGGTCTGGGCACAGCCTGGCAGCCTCATGCCAATGCCTGTGTTCCCGAGCCCAGTGGGGGCGCCAGTCCTAGCTGGCATAACGGCCAGGGTGAATGTCCCCCCGGGAGTGGGTAGCAAACGCAGCTTTCCCCCGGAGCAGAGACCCAGGGGAGCTCTGACATGGAGGGACGTTTTTCTGATTAGCCCCCCTGACGCGGGTCTCTATGTTGTCATCCACAGCACCGGTGGTGACAGGCACAGGGCCAAACTTCTCTCTGGGTGAGTTGCAGGGTCATCTGGCCTATGATCTGAACCCCTCGAGCACTGGCATGAGACGGACGCTCCCCAGCACCTCGTCCAGCGGGTACGTACCAGCCTCCGCACGGGCTCTGGGGGCAGTGGGGCAGGGTGGGGGCTGGGCTGGGCTTTTTCTAGGCCTTCTCTGTGCAGCACAGTGTGGGAAGGGCAAGGCAGGTTCAGTCCTGCTTCAGCCAGACGTGGGGCCTGCCGGCACGCCTAGTCCCATGCGTGCAAGCACCCATAGAGGCCCGGATGTACAGAGATGTAAGCACGCACGGGGACCCGCGTGGCGGTGCAGTCGCACATGGAGTCCCTGCGACACGCATGGCTCTCCAGTCACACACGCCGATAGAGCACGCACGTCCGCGGACTCGTGCAGACACACACACCGGGCAGCAGTATAAAACTCCGCCTGCGCGGCCTCAGATCGGGGTTAGTTTGGTCCCCGGAATAGAAATCCAGGGCAGGTTTTTGCCTTTGCTGGGCGGTAGCCAGAGTCCAGTGCAGGCGGGCTCCTCTCCTCCTCACTCCTAGTCCTCTCCCTGCCTGACACGCGGTGTCCTAGGGGAACTCCTTCCTTCCACACTGGCTGCAGCCCAGGCTCCCAGCCTCTGGTGCGGAGGGGGCATATGTGTTACTTAACCCCAGCAGTGCCGCAGCGCTCCAGGGACCTGGTGCAGCCACAGCCCTGCTGGGAACAAAGCCAGCAGTGACGTGGTTAACCAACAGTTTTGGCCTGGTGGCTTCCAGGGCCAACCTAGAGCAGCCTGGCGGCGTGGGCCTGTCACTGCTTCAGCTAAGCCGGGCCAAGGCTGTGCAGGAGTTGGATGGGAGACGGCTTGAGGAGCCCCGCAGG